CAGAAAAACAAGTGGGACTTTTTCACCTTTCTTGTTCTCGAAGTATTGGCAATGGTATTGACTGGTGCAGTTACTCTTACAAGTAAGACTCTTTCCTGTACCTCACATAAAATATTTGTTCATCAGGAAATATTTGTTCCTTTGTTCAGTTTGTAGTCTGCTAAATAAATGCCTTTTGAGATATCAGGAGTCTTGACTGATCCAGCAGCTCCGTCTTCTTTTGGTGCTTGGTTAAATCATGCTGGTACTCACCATATTGGTGCTTTAGCATTCTTGTTCGCGGACTTTTTCCTCTTTGTTGGTGTGGCAGTCTTAACTGGGGTACAAGCTTCTCAAGTATGTTTCTTTTTTTTTTCCTGTCAGTTATCATAATCTCCTCAGCCTACTGGCACTCTGTGAAATTATATGTTTCAAACATGTATCATATGCCTGCAAAGATATAATTATTGTTGTTGGAACATACAACATGAAACACTTAATTCATTTCCCGGGTGCTGCCACAGATTTACGCACTTTGTGTCAGCTGCTCTGGATAATAGGGCCACTAGCACACATGCTGTGGTCTTTAATTTGTTTTCTTTCCAGATATGTTTTCGGGAAGAGACAGAATTTATGTATATGAATGATCATTGCATGATCAAAAAGTTCATCTGAATATCTTACTGCGGACGTTGTGAACATGCTTATAGTTTCACCAGGGATGCTCATTAGCATTTTATTTTCAACCTTTCTGATTCATATTTCCTCAATCTGACTGTTGATGGTTCCATCATGTCATTTAGGACTATGTCTCTGGGAATAATGATCATTGCATGATCAAAAAGTTCATCTGAATATCTTACTGCGGACGTTGTGAACATGCTTATAGTTTCACCAGGGATGCTCATTAGCATTTTATTTTCAACCTTTCTGATTCATATTTCCTCAATCTGACTGTTGATGGTTCCATCATGTCATTTAGGACTATGTCTCTGGGAATCATGATAAGTTTGTCTGTCTGCTTCATTTGAGTGTCAGCAACACGTGACAGCACGAATGTATACTGTTAAACATGTTTGTCTATTGATGACTATTTCTCCCTCTCCTGCTAAGGTAAAAACATGAAATATATCTTGACCTTTCTTTTTTCCCTTTTGCAACAGATTTCACACAACATCACAACAAATGAAATGGCCAATATGATGCGTTATAGTTACCTTAGAGGACCAGGTGGTCGATTCCGGAATCCATATGATCATGGGTGTAAGAAGAACTGTTCAGATTTCTTGATAAATGGTTATAACGAAGATATCGAGTACGTTGAAGAATCGATTGAGTCCGAGGGGATAGGAATGATGCAAATTCCTCGCAGTTCAAGTCTTCAAAATGGTGGCAGCCATTCTAACCAGATCAATGGAAATGGCCATCATGTTATCAATATGAACAATAACCAGAACTCACACCAGGGTCATGTTCATTCTGCTCATTGTTCTCATAATGTTAAGAGCAAAACTGATTCTGTACCGGTTGGTTTGGGTGTTGGCTTAGGAAGAAATGCTGCGCGCACTGCGCTATCTTCATAACTAGTGCCACAGTTCATGGGTTTAGAATCCCTCCTTTTTGATCTTTTTTCTATTGTTTATAAGCACAGTGATTTAGAGCTTGAGTTATTCAATTGGTTTACTGTTTTTTCCTCTTTCATCTTGGTGCAAGTAACTCACTTCTGTCTAGTAAATCCTCCATTATGCTATGCAACTTCTTCAGTTCATAGTACTTTGTACAAAGTTGTAATTCTTTTGCAGAAGCACAAATGCTACTGAATTTGCAGCTGTTAGTAATTGATTTTGAGAAATTGGTTTGCGAAAAAAAAATCCTTGCCTTAAATAAAGCCACTTCATTTTTCTTGTTTTTTTTTTTCCTTTTTCTTTTTCCTCTTAAATGTGCAATATCTGATGAGTGCTTCCCTTTTTTGGTTTGCTTTAATCGTTCGGTATTTGGAAATCATAGGCTGACTAATTTAGATTTCCGTTGCTTAGACTAATTGAACGGGAAGCGCGACCTACCATGGGTTTTGTCTATTTCCGCGGCTTGAAGCCTAAACCTCTAGTTAAGGACGAAAGATTCCATCTACTTCACCACACCCTTGTCGTGATTGACCAATGCTTCTCCTTATACTTCAATCTAAACACTGGAAAAAATTATAATATTGCCATTGTACTGTTGCAAAAATCATTGTCTTAAGAAAAATATTTTGACTTTCTAATGGTAATAATGTCATTATTTTCTGAATATAATAAGTAATATTTACAATATTAACGATGAAATTTTCAATTAGTATATGCCAATGATTATAGAGCTAATTTAAAGAGTTGTATATGAAATGTTTTGATCGTGACATTTGTTAACACAAAGTAAAATGCATATTCCACGAGGAATTTGTTCCCCAATAATAAAAAAGGAGAATTTGCCCACAGGTTTGTTACAGCATATAGAATTATATTATATTACTATATACAAAATATGAAATGACAAGGAAGTTTCTGTACAAAAAAGGAGGACAAGACATGGATTATTCGAAGAATAAGTTCCTTAACTAATGCTTAATTCATAATCCATACAACAACCAATAGATATTAAATGCTAAAACGGGATCAAGCTATTCTTACTCTCTATTTTTTATACTGTACCAAATTGGAAAAATAATAAAAGAAGAATAAAACTTTAGTAGGGGGTGAATCCATTTAAACACCACCCAAATAACCGTATCTGAGTGTGAACTTAATCTCAATTGTCAATTAATGACTTTTTTTTATAAGCATCATTTTTTTAGTTTTATTTTTTTAATTGTTTTTATAAGCATCATAGATGCCAAAAAGATGCATAAGCATAATTCGTTATTCACAGTAGTCAATATTTTGATATGGAAAATGAAAAATCTCTTTTGATTCGCACTCCATGTTTACATCAACTCAATAAATACATGACACATAACTCACATACATTATCATTAGTAAAACATAAATAATTATTAATGCACATATTCTTACTTCAATTTATTACTTAACTATACTAAATTATTATAATTATATAAAAATATCAAGTGCGCATGAAGTAGAATCCAAATCCATGATAAGTTCTTCAATCTTCTGCTAATTAAGTTACTTAATGATAATAATCTTTATTCTGTTACTGATGTCAATCATCAACTTTTATTTACCCCTGTTACAAATCCTATGGCGCCTTTCTACTGAATAATAATAAAATAGTTCAATCTTTTTCAAAAATTCTTTTGAGATAAGGTGGGTCCACAAAGTTATAAGCCAAAAAGATATACTCAAACAAAGATATATTCGTGCATCTAAGTGATGTAAAAAAAAAAAAAAAAAACTTTTTTGTAAAATTTAACTTAAAATGTATCATCTCTTCCCGTTTTAAACGACACTCTTTGAACATAGAAGTTGAACTTTTTAAACAAGTTTGAGCTTTAGAATGTTTCCACCGGGATAAGAAATTTAGTCTTTTATTGTTCGTATTTTTTCTTTTACAGTCGAATAAAATCTTCTATCTATACTAGAACTATGGGTAGAATTACGAGGTGTATGACTTACCAATTATGCCTTGTTGATTATCAACATTAATGCTACAATAAAAGGCAATATAAAAAGGGTAATAAAGCCTAATAAAGACGGGAGGAATCTTAGGGTTTTCTGCAGGATTCAAAATTTCAAGAGGATGGGTGCATTAATGTGAAGAGTTGGATTTGGATCTAAAATTTATATTTGATTGGTTTAGCTTCTCTTACCATAACCCACAACACATTTAAAATTATAGGTTCAAAATTATATATATATTTTTGAAATTTTAGTATTTTTATAT